TAAAATTTAAAAGCAAATTAAATAAAACTAACTTTTTAAAATAAGAGTAACTTCAAAGTTCCCGATTTCTTATTATAGAATCCCCTATTCTTAATGGCAAATTGGGATTTTCCTGGAAAAAGTATTCTAATTCGTCATACAGTTTATTACAACTTGACTTATGAGTGATTCGGTAATTACAAAATCTAAATGGCGTGAAAATTGTTTAAAATAGATATTTCGAGAATTGAAAAAACTACCTAGTGATATCAATCTCGACTGCCTCTCCCAAAACAGGCCCGATTCCTAGCTGGAAGTTCCCCCATAACAAGAGATGAGATTGATGATCGAGTTTGATATCTTTGAATGCATAAAATATTTCACATGTGTATTACTAGATTTTTTTTTATCCAGTGTGGAAATTTTAATACTCACCCTTTTCCATACTTTTTGGACACTCTGTACATTAAAAAATTTTCAAACTGTATAAGTTGTAGTTCATTTACGTCACACTAGAGCTGCACATTGGGCTGTTGGAGACGGTCTAGGAAACATCCCTGAGGATGATCCAAAGAAATACCATCACAATTTCGATCCTCAGAAAGAGGGTATGATACCGGTAGCAAGACGATCTGCGCGCAAAGTGGAATACTTAAATGTAGAACTGTTTCATGTAGACTCATACCGCACACCTCGATCCAGCACAGGCTGATCAAAGTAGACACCGATCGATCCGCACACTGACTGCAGCCAGTGAAGCTTGACTTCGGTGATCTACTAGGAATGTTGATTTAAGAACCAGTCAATTCACTGCGGTACTCAAACTGTATAAATCTATGATCTTTTGTATATCGACTTGATAAAGTTTAAATTACTTTACAGGTACCTAAAATTAGTTTACAACTTAGACCTTAAAATAGATTGGTTATTTTTCAATTACCGTCATTCGGGGCTACTTTGTGCAGGATTTCGCAGTTTTTGAACTTTGACATGTAAAAAAACATGTTAATTCAAACTTTAGTAAAATTTATCGATATTATATTCATAACTGGACTCAGATGAGTGAATTTGATAGATATTGGCATTATTTGTATGCAATATTTACGAATAATAAGTCAAAACATACCTTGCACAAAGTAGCCCCCAAATGGGGCTACTTTGTGCAGCGATAGGAATTCAGTTTAATAATCATGTTTTTAGTAAAATATTGATATAAAATTGTTAAAAAAGTTAATTGTTGACATTTTTAAAGACAAAAACATCAAGATATGTAAAGATATTAGTTTGAAAATAATTTTCAGCGTTAAAAAACCATTTTTTTTGAAGAATTTTTTCTTAAAAAGAATGTTTATTTCAAAACATTTGAGTTTAAACAAAAGGAAACCATATACATTTTTGAACATTGAAATGGATGAAATTTCAAAAATAATAATTATTACATATTCATTAACATTTATAATATTGATAAATTTGAACATAACATGCTTGAATGAACATGACAGAACTTGCTCTTCAGTTTCTGTCAAAATCACCTGATGTCCTATAAAATATATTTTTATGTGTTAAATCGTTTGATTAATTCATTAGAAAAATCTTTGTAGAAGAAAAATAATAGTTTACCAGGAAGTTTCACGTGTTTCTTGTGAATTTTATTAGAGATAGTATTTCTGTGGATTTTGTACTTCCGAGAAGCTTCTGCAATCGACATACCACCAGCAACTGCTTGCAAACATTGTTGCAGCTTTTCTAAAGTGTAATCACGGTAGTTTCTCGTTCCAGGTATTTTTTTATAACGTCTGACCATTTTTCTGTCGAAAAAAAAAACGAATGAAACTTTGCACAAAGTAGCCCCAAAGTGCATTTTTTTTCATTTTCCGTTTATTTGTTATTAATTTTCAAATTTTTTTAACGCTAACATGATATAATTGTTTATTAATATATAAATAAAAAATTTTGCACTTGCGACAATTGTTTTATCAACGTCTTTGCATTTCACAACTAAAGTTTCCACGCACACTTTTCGACATCCAACGTCCTAGGAAAGTTGTTGACATTGGATGAACGAAACACACTCTGAGATTGTTTTAAAATTCGAAAAAATGTTTGTAGTAATAGAGGAGACTTCTATCTTCAAATTCCACACATTTTTAACGTGAAAAAAAACATAATACTGAATAGCAGCACTTGAAAAATGCCAAATTCGAATTTGCACAAAGTAGCCCCGAATGACGGTACTGTGTTTTGACCGTTATGTTCAAATACTTGATTTTGTAACCATGTCATTATTAGGTGCTCTAAAAGTACCACTTTGAACAATATCCCATATTGTAACACACAGGTATTGCAGGGGTTTAATTTTCGAGGGAGACAAAATTAACACAGTCACAATAATTCTCTAAACTCCACACATGCAAAAAAATATATACATTAAATCTGCTAAATATACCTGCAAAAAGATTAATTATTTTCTTTTCTTCCTGTCTTTAACTTTAAACCAATGATGATTCATGAAAATTCTCTTTATTTGTCTGATATATTATAGGGGATGAAAATGTCAAATTTAAGAAATATCTAAATACTGAGGGGGAGATAAGCCTTAATACGCAAAAATCAAAAAATCTAATCAAAAAATGAATCTAATTTACAAATGCAGAAAAAGACAAAAAGGTAAATTAACAATTAAAACATAAATCAAAATAGAAAAGCGCCTAAAACCAAATTTGCTTTATTTTAATTTAGATATTCGAAAAAACAATTAAAGCAGGAAAAAGCAATTAAAATAAAAGATATGTGTGTTGGCAAGACAGCACTTTATCAGGGGACACACTGCCTGCCAAGACACATGAGCCTTTCTGTTGTCAGTGGAAAAGTCAGCTTTGGTTTTTCCACTGCCAACAGAAAGGCTCCACTGTGTGTTGGCAGGCAGTGTGGCCCCATAAGTGCTGTCTTGCCTACACACATATCTTTTATTTTTATTGCTTTTTCCTGCTTTAATTGTTTTTTTTTCTGAATATCTATATCAATATACACAAACACGCAAACACTGTTCCCAGGAAATTTGTCACCGTCGCGGAAAATTCTTTAGTATTATTCATTATCAGAAACAAGAAAATAAACGTAAGGAATTATGATGTTATATGGATACATATATTTTTAAACGCACATTTATTTATACAAAGAAAGACAAGCATAAAGAAAAACGAAGTAAATAACTAACTTTATAATTATATCTTAATAAAACTGCTAAATTTAAAGAAATATAAACTAATATATAAAATAATCGACATAGTTTGTAATACAATATAGTAAAACACTTTTAAAAGCGTTTTTTTTTTTTAACAAATTTCATCAAAATTAGGTGGCAATGAAAGGGTTGACACTAGTAAAAAAAAAGTGTCAATAAATTGCTTGAAAGTTTTTTAATAGAGTTTTTGTACTTACAAAAAGTTTTTCAATTTATCCTAGTCTGGATGTAATCCACAATTCCTACCTCACCAATAATGCCCATCAATCATGTTATTTGTATATGATGTTGGCACATTGTCACTAAATACTCATAATGAAGTTATAATTCAGAAACTAATCCATCCTTAATTTATTTCCCTAATAAGAGAAATAAAAGTGCAACAAGAAAATATCTTACATTTCATTATCACCATAAATTGATTTTTCTTCTTTTAAAGTGAGACTAATGAGCGAGGGTAAAACAAGCTTGATAATTTCAGCTGCACAGAAGAAGTTACTTTTATCAATTTTCTTTTAGTGGTTTGCATATAGCTCACAATATATTGTATGCTCAAACATTGAATTAAATCACAATATCTTTTTTAAACATATAAAATAAATAAATTAACAAAAATTATAATTTAATAAACCACAGAACTTTTATTTAAAAGTTTTTATTTCATACAAAACTAATAACTTATAACATTTTGAAATAAATTAATTTGCTGACATATATTAATACCTCTATTTTGTTTTTCAGTCATTAACAAGAAAAATATGCTTTTTCATTAAACTCTTCTAATAATTCAATTTTTGAATTGCCATAAGGAAACCATAATTTATACAATTATGTAAACACCAATTCTTAGCATTGTTATTGAAATTTGCACTTCAAATTGTTTTTTTGACTCTAATTATTTGAAACATGACATTTATAATCAAATAGCACAACACATATTAAAAGTAATTTATTTCAATATTGCTAAAATAGCAATTTTTCATGTTTTAAAATATCTATGAATATTCAGATTATCACCATTTTTAAAATGATTATTAACAAGAATTTATCAATACAGATGTACCTGTAAGGAGAATACCAAATAAAATTAGTACAAAAATAATTCTTTTAATCCTCTCTGAGCATTAGCAGTACCTAGAGATAACATAGCTGTTTTTCCTGTTGAAAAATGAATTTATCTTTTTTATTTCATGAGAAAGTTATTCAGTACGGTGAAATATCCATACAGACTTGTCAAATCACGAAAATGCTTGGTTGATTAAAATCATGTTTAAATTAATGGGGCCTCAAATTAATCGCTTCGTATATTCTAAAAAATAAATATTTTTTTGACAAAAAAAAAATTCTCTTTTGACATTAGTTGTAATTAGCGAGATGAGATCATCATATTGTGATCTGTGGCAGAATAATCGCCAAGTCATGGCAACTTCCAGGCAGTGACCCACAAGAAAGTAAAAAAACATCACAGAAAGGGACCAAGTTGAAAGGTATAACTCGTCTCCACCCCCAGACAAATATCTAAAAAAAAATTTTTTTTTAAATTTGTCAGTTCAAAATCTATTTGGCACGACAGATCAAAATATGGTTGGAAATATTCCTGTGAGTGACATAATATTCACAACATAAAAACTAAATAAGTTTCTTTGATCCTTCACTAGTCAAAAATGTATGGTTGATTTATTGATTTTATATTGAAAAAGTAAAAACAAGAAAATTTATAAAATACTACTCTAAATTTCTCATGTGTTTTGTACTCATTTCAAATGAAACACAATAATCTGTTAATTAGAAAATTTTATTTTATCAAAATTATACATAATGAAATGATGACTGAGAGCAAATGTAAACATAATATAACTTGTAAGCTTTATGTAACTCAAGAGCTTTATATAACTTGAAAGTATTAAAAAGTAAAAATATTCAGTAAAAAACAGTTCATATTTAAAATACCTACTAAACCTGATAAAACTTAACTTAAAAACAAATAAGAGATTCAAGTCAAAGAGAAGAATGCTTTATCCGAAGAAAAAAAGTTAATGATTTGCTGTCACGCAACTTAGTACTGAAAGCTTCTCTGCGTTTGAATGTCATCCAAAATTTGGCGTAATTCCTCATCTTCAAATCTTCCTTCTAAGCTCGGAATTAAAGTCTTTGCTTCTTCTGGAGTTTCAGGACACAAATTCGCCAGCTGTGCAAGTTCATATTTATGTACCTTTTTCTGTGTCAATAGACTTCTCACAGCCGATATTGTTTCTCTGTTTCGGAATCTACTGAATCTTTGACAGTAGTTCAAGGTTTTCATGAACACTTCTGGCAGTTCTTGTTCTTCCTCGGCGTTTTCATTTTGTTGTTTTCTATGCTCTAGTAACATTAAAACTTCTGACACAAGTAAAGTTTCTGCATTTTCGAATTCTTTGGGAAATTGTAATTCACCAGCATCTTCTTCGATTTGATCGAGAACATAACTTGGAGCGCTAGCAGACATTGATGAAAAATGCGGTAATTTTATAGATTAGAAAACAACAAATTTTACTTTCTGCAAAGTTTCAAATACAAATCTAATTCGATTTTTGATCAAAATTAAAGAGGAATACTGATCAAAATAATCAAATGGCACCATAACAGCAACAATCAATCAACCAATTAGACATAAGGAATGGGATCTTTTATCAATCTGAACTGACCGTTTTAAACGAAATCCAAATAAGTTTGCAAAGTAGAAGAAATTTGCGGAGTTTGTATTGCACAGAAATAGGCAGCTATAAACACACATTGTAAACAAAAACTAATTTTAATTACCAAAATTTTGATATTTCTAATTTTGACAGATAAGAATTTTTTAAAATTATTATTAATATATTTACAGCAAAACATAGTTAGAAGAAGTTTTCTTTGTTGGTTTCAAGATGAGTAATTCTATGTTCGTTAAAAGTGAAAGGTATTTTCGTATTAATGTTCCGCCCTTTTAAAGATTGAATTTTATTAAACATCGCATTTTTTTAATTCATTAATACCTAAACATTATTATTTGTATTCTCTTCATCATACACATAGTTTAATAACCTGTTTTCTAGGAAGAAAGAAGAAAAAAAACCAAACTTGCTATAAAACAAGCTGTTAAACTCGAATTATTTTTTTCAAAAAAAATGAAACACAGTTCAAGTAGTTATTTGAAAATTCAAGATTTTACATCATCAAATGCTAGATAAATGTATGCAGAAAAAAGAGATTAGTTTTTCGACAGAAATTGGAAACTGTTATAATTTTTCTTTTTAGAAAAATTTAAGAATACAATAAATTTTGGAAATATTGGGCTCATACTTTATCTTTTAAAGACTAATTAATGTTATCTTATTCTAAGCAATAATTAAGATAAATTATCAATTGGCATTAAAACAGAATTCATTGTGGTCACAAATAACCCACTTTTTTTTTACTGTTTTTTTCCAACGTAGATTGTGCACACCAAACTTACTATAGACCAATCTATTTGTCTTGTTAGTATGCTGCGTACTTAATATATTTTGTACTTTATTAAATAATCAATGTATTTGTGCTGTTTTTTGTTTTGTTTTTTTAACTTGTTTGTTTAACAGTTCATTTTTTCTCTTTTTTGTAGGTTTTTTATTATGTACCATAAATATTTTTGTTCTTTTAAAGTTGGTATAAAAGTAAAAATTCTGTGTACAACAATTGCTGCTGTATTTTTACTTTTCTATTTTTTTTATTTGCTTTAAACTATGTTATAGATTATTAACAAATGGGAAATACCTTGCTCTAAATCAGCTATATATGATTCAGCAAATTTTAAACAATTTGAAATTGAAAGTAAAAGTTTCTTATTGAAATTATTTTGAAGAAAAAAATATATACTACACTAAGTGTTAGAATTTGTTGCATTACCTTCTTGAAAAAGTTGTTATTATAACACTATTAATCATTTTTATTGTATTGTGAGATATTCTTGGTGGTATCCAATGAAGACACATAATAACAAAGGTATAAGTTTAATGAAACTATAAAACATAACATAACAATAACATGCTTACAACACGTAACAAGGTTAGCGATGAACATCTATTAGGAATGGGTATATATACTCTCTGGAAAGGTAAGGCAGCGCCGCTATTCAGAAACTACAAGCTGTTGTTGTTGACTCGTAGTGATGACGGAAGGTGACGTCGGTTGACATCACAACACCCCTTTGCCCTAGGATAGAACAAAGTCTTTGAACCTGCTTGGCCTGACGATGGTATGTCTGGGCCTCAAGTTTCTGGAAGTCTGTTCTGGAACTGGAACAGAAGACTCTTGATTTGGTATTGTAGGTTCAACTACTGAACTCTTAGAATAAGCACTGGAAGGAATGGGAGCTGGTACTTCAGTCTCAACACTCGTTGCTGGTGGAGATGATACACTAGGGTCGGACGGAACAGTCAACGGATCAGGAATACGTTTCCGCATTTGATCCACATGTCGTTTAACTACCTCGCCTCCTGTAGCTTGGTAGGAAACTGGACCTGTAGGTTTAATTATCGTTGCTGAAGACCACTTTGGACCATGTCCATAGTTTCTCACAAAGACTGGATCGTCGGCACTGAACGATCTTGGAAGAGAACTACCATTTTTTCTATACGCATCTTGCTCCTGTCTCAACTTCCTCTCAGCCGTCAGATCTGGATGGAGTCTAAGACGGTCCTTAGCTTCCTCCCCATCAACAGTTCCGCAGGACTAGCACCTGTTGTGGTGGTGGGAGTACAATGTTGTTGAAGAAGGAACTTGGCAAGCCTCTTCCTCCAATTTCCCTTCACAATGCGTCTTAGGGCATCTTTGACGGTCTGGACTGTTCTTTCAGCCTGACCATTTCCGGACGGACGTCTTGGTGCAATCATGACCCTTCGGACGAGATTCCTCTCTAAGAAAATCTGGTACTCCGATGCTCGAAACTGACCTCCGTTATTGGAAACGATGACTTCTGGTATCCTATGGGTAGCAAAGATTTCTCGCAGGACGTCGACTGTTGCAGAAGCAGATGTGGAAGTCATATGACGCACTTCTATCCACTTTGACATAGCATCTACTATGATGAGAAATTCTTGTCCCTGGAACGGACCTGCAAAATCTATATGAAGACGGGACCAAGGTTTCTCTGGAATCTCCCATGGATGCACTGGAGCTTTAGGAGGCGCATGGTGTGTCTGTTGACATTCCTGGCATCTTTGAACATGCACTTCTATGTCGTGATCCATGCCTGGCCACCACACGTATGAACGTGCGAGAGCTTTCATTCTTTCGATCCCTGGATGTCCCAGATGTAGAGCCTGGAGAACACGTGATTTTCCACACACTGGAATAACTACTCTATTACCCCATAACAAGCAATTTCGATGGGTTGAAAGTTCGCTACGTTTTGAAAAAAAAGTCTGAAATTTTTTATCTGGTTTTTCATTTGGCCATCCTCTCAAAACCCAATTTAGTACTCTTGACAAAATTGGATCACGCAATGTTAATTTTGCTATTTCTGCTGCCTGAAGCGGAGGATCTTGTAAGTCCTCGGTAAACAATACCTCTAAAGGAGCGGGAACCTCAAATTTATCAGTCTCTTTTGGGAGTCTACTTAAAGAATCTGCGTTTTGAATCTTTTTCCCTGGTCTATGAATTAGAGTATACTCATATGCATTAAGTATTAAAGACCATCTCAGCATACGCGGAGACAAAATTTCTTTAGTAGGCTTATTTCTTGAAAAAATTCCTAGCAGAGGCTGATGATCAGTTATAATAGTGAATTTATGTCCATAAACAAAATGATGAAATTTTTTTTATACCGAACACAATTGCCAACGCCTCTTTGTCCATTTGCGTGTAATTTCTTTCTGTCGACGCGAGCGTACGCGATGCGAAAGCTATTGGTGCTTCGCAACCATTTTCAAGAACATGACTTAAGACAGCTCCTACGCCAAACGGAGATGCATCGCAAGCTAAAGTTATCGGTAATTTTTCATCGAACGGAACCAAAACCGCTTCGGAACTGAACAATTCTTTTAAATATCGAAAAGCTTCANTTGTTCCTACCACGTACAAAATCAACTACATCCGAATTCTCAGAATAAGAAGAATTTTGGGTATGAATATGCTTTGATTGGGAAGCCGCAACCTCAGATGCTACTGCAACAGAAATGGCATTTTCAAGAGTTAATTTGGATTCAGCCAACAATCTTCTTTGAACCTCTTCATCACGAATACCGCAGACTAATTGATCTCGTAAACGTTCTGACAAAGTTTCTCCGAAATTACAATCTTCGGCCAGCTTTCTTAACTCAGTAACGTAAGCATTCACAGATTCTAAATTTGATTGAAATCTTTTATGAAACTTGAAACGTCGAAATATTTCTGAAGGTTTAGGTTTAAAAGTTAGGTTAAATTGCAAAACTTTTAAAAGTTTAATTAATTCTTGAAATTTAAATTCTGTAACTTCTTTAGGCGAAACTAAAGTCCGAATTATAGACTATGTTTTAATTCCACAAACAGCTAAAAGAGTCGCACGCTTTTTACTATCATCAACGATAGAATTAGCCTCCAAAAAGTAAGTAATTTGATCAGCATATAACTCGAATGAATTTGGTTTTGAAGTGTCAAATTCCTGAATAGAGCCTACCATCGCCATCTTAGTATGAAATTTAACTTAAGCCAGACGAAAATATCGCAAATAGAAAAACGCAATTAAACATTTATAACACCTACCGGAAGTATTAAATAATACCGGTATTGGATCTCGTGAACAACTCATGGCGTTCAATCTTCTCCACAGAAATCCAATTGATATCCAATTGCATCTTTACAAGAAATCCAATTGCAGTTGAACTTCGTCATGCCGTGCGGTCGAATTCCAATTTTCGTGAAATAGGATCAGTGGAATACGATCCCTTCTCGTCGCCACGTATTGTATTGTGTGTCTTCATTGGATACCACCAAGGATGAGATGACGAGGCTGGGATGACGGAAGGTGACGTCGGTTGACATCACAACAATTTTCATCAGTCACAGAATTTAAATCTTTAAAGATCCAAATGCTATTATTTTTTTAAGGAAGAAACTATTAATCTTTTTGGGAAATAAAGGATCTTTAAGATTTTTACATTTTTGGTACGTTTCCCTTTTGTTAGAACAGTCGATAAAGCCGCCAATGCAAAATCACCAAATGCAAGTAAATTCAACTGTCTCTTTTTTTTATGATGATAACTAGTAAGAAATCTAAATATGATAAATAGATAAAATTGCTAGGTTTACACATGCGAACAAAGTAAAAAAGATAATTTATTTTAAGAAGCATAAAATTATAACACTATATTATAATGTATATACAATAATTTTAAGGTAGCAATTAAAACTAGCATAACAAAGTTTAAACAATAACAGAAACTGTTATTAGTCAGTGAATTCTAAAATGGCCGACATATACACTGTCGTAACAATGAAGGCAGTATCACCATTACCTTTTAATGGAAGATATGTATTGTCAAGATAACAAATGATGACTGAAATTTTTTCGAAATAGTTTATTAATTAATAAACAACTGCCACGCACTTATCTATGTGTTTGATAAGTTTTTATTCATTTCATCTTTTTCAATATTTATTAGTTGACATCCATATAAAATATCATTTGATTTGCTTTTTTATTTTAGAATTCAGAAAGCTGTTGCTTTAATAAATGGACTGGAACCGCCAAAATTCCCATTATTGTTGAATCGGATACTCCAAAAAATACACTCAAAGGTCAATTTTGTAATTATATATAATGCTTATTTATTAAAAAAAAATCATTTCTGTAATTACCTAGTCTAAATTTATAAGTTTTGTTAGTACCTCTTTAATATTTCTTTTTTTTTAATTTTTATATTTTATAGCAGAGATGTATTTTTATTCAATTTAGTTATTTTTAAATAAATTTTTTTGTTTTCCATGAAAAACTGCCATACGAAGGTAGAAACGTTAGTGAAAATGCATCTATATCTTTAAATATGCTCACTAAGTTATAGCATTATGCTATTTTACAGTACAGAACCCGTTATCCGGAAATCAGAAAACCGAAAAACCGGAACGAAATTCCATCAATTTTTCCCACAATTTTTAAAAAATATATATATATATTTTTTTTTCCCTCATAAGATTTTAGGATTTTTCTTTCTTTTTTGAAAGATGTTTACCTTGCCATCATTTTGGAAATAATCATTAGTGTATTACTTGGTTTTTTCTTCTTTTTAAGATTACTTCCAAATTTTCTTTTTTTTCTTTAGTTAGGTTTAACAATAAAAAAATGGCTTTTTGTAGCGATTCAGAAAACCGGAAAAATCAGTTATCCTGAATAGCGATGGCCCCGGTCGTTCCGGATAATCGGTTCCCTACTGTAGTAATTTTTTTATTGTTTACTATGTCAGTTATATTGTTATTATCCCCCAATCATTCTTCTCTTTAAAAAATAAAATTGAAAATAATTTTTTTCAGTGTTAAAATTACTATGTAGGGCAATCAAAGAAATAAATTATTTTTTAGCTATTTCATTATAAAATATAGAGCATTAGATACTTACTAAAACTAACACAGAAGTAAAAAAAATAATAATAATACCTATTAACAATACTTAGCTTACTTTTTTGACCTTACATTTGAATTTTAGCTGACCTACCTTTTTTAGTATTATGTTAAGAAAAGTTCAGCCCATCCAACGTTCAAGTTCTGAACCATTTCTTTTTTTCTTCCTTAAATAAGTTCTAGTTTCATCTACACTACACTCAGCTCAGACAAAATATCAGGCCATTTTGAACTATGATTCTTTATTTAGAGCGTTTTGAATGTGAAGTTTTCATTATAATCACCCTGTACTTTGTTTGAAAAAATTATCTCATTTAAATTCAAAATGTGCTCTTTCAAACACTTTTATAGTACTAAAACTTTAACTTACTTTAAAAGGAAGAAGTATTTACTAAAGAAGAGTGCTCCAAATTAGAAGTTTCACTGGCAGTTAATCAAGAGCAACTTAAACTAATATTACAGACCCTCACGTTTATTTTCCAACAGGTACTAAGATTCATTTTATTAATTATTTTATTTTTATTTATTTACTTATGTTTTTGTAATTTTTAAAATAATATATTTTTTGAAATGCAATTTGGACTTATATAATGTGTATATACATATATTGTAGGCAGCATATCATGTAGCTAAACCTGCGGTATTGAGCCAAAATTTGCAACAAATAGATTTAAATGAAGAAAAGGTAAGTCGTTGAGAATTTAAAAGAATATAATTTAAGTTTTAATGCAACATTTTATAATATTTTGTTAAATATATAAAATGTTGTGATTACCTGTGTTCCTGGTTACTCCATCCTTGAAATTTAAAAATCATATTCAATTTTTAAAAGTTATTTTTTCTTTTTTTGGCTTAAAAATTGATTTGAGAAAACTTTAAACACTTTTGCATTTTCTTATACATCAATTCTATCATACATAAGTATCTTGTTCATTAGTTTTACCTTACACTAATTTTTTGTTGGTTAATTTGATATTAATTACTTGATCAAAGAAAAAAGCAACAATAATAAATTATCTTTAATTAATTTAAGATAAAACTACTCTTACATTAAATAATGTTAGATTAGTTTTTTTGTACATTCATTAAAGATAATTTAGTGTTTTTTTTTCTTTGGCTTAAAAACTTTTTGAGATAATTTGATACAATTTAGTATTTTTTTCTGCATCAAATCTGTCCTATTTAAGTACCTTGTTCATTAATTTCATCTTGCAAGAAAATGACTCAAAGTGTGATATAAAATTTTGATGTCAAACAAAATTCATTGTTGAGTTTTTCTAGATATAAAATTTTGATGTCAAACAAAATTTTATATATTTTGATTTGCTTAACTAGAATATACATATTATTTAATTTGATACCATTTCACTAGTTTCCAAATTATTTCCAAATTCCCCTCTTCTCTTGAAGAAAAAAAAAAGGTTTTATATTGAATAACTGAAAAGAAAGAAAGAGACCACAATCATAATGTGCCAGTGGCATAATGAGAATATATGTAGTTTTCATTTAAGAAGTACTAAGTACAAACTCTGTGCATGCCAGGATTTTATTTATTTATTTATTCTGATTTTGACCAATTTCAGTTAGTTTTCTAATTTAATTTGGAGAACTGGGAATATACAGTAAAGAGTTTAATTGATGAGAGCTTTTCTAGTGAAGAATTGAATATTGAGGTTGTTCTGAAAGAGCTATATTGCAATCAAAATATGCCATTCAACAACACCAGATGCAAAAAAAAAAATTTATTGTTAAAGTTATTTTGTTTGTAATTAACCTGTTGAGATTTTCATCAGAAATATTCAGACAAATATTAATCAGGTATGTATTTGAGAAATTGGGCGAGAAACTGTTCAATCATATTATTTTCAACATGCTGTGCAAAATTTTATTTTCATTTCAAAATGATAGGTAATTGTAACAAATGTTATTGGAAAATATTTTAAAAATGTGTACATTGTCATGAATTACTCTAATTATATCATACAATTGATATTTGTCTTTCCATTTTAAAAAATGTTAACTTTCTTAAAAAAATTAAAACTTTAAAAAATTTAGAAAAAGCCTAACAAATGATACAGCAAAAAGCAAAGAATAATTGTCAAATAATAACAAAACATTTTTACAAAAAAATAATGCTAACAACTAATTTTAAACCAGCACCCTATTAAACAAATAATGCATGTGCTTTTCATCATTCTTGAATTTAATATACAATTGCAATTAATTTAGTATTTGAAGAAAATGTATTTGCATAATTATTGTGTCCCCTTACCCACATATCATGCATAAGATATTATTTCTAGTGTATTAAAAATGTTTTGTTGTGAATTTCCTTTTCATTAATGATTTTGAGTTGCTAATTAGAATTATTTGTTAAAAATGTAAAGGCTTTTGTTTTTTTCTTTTTCAATATTTCTCATAACTTATAGTAATTAAAAAAAAATTTTATGCAGATATCAACCATTGTTCAAACTTGGGTCACTCATGCTAAAAATGTTGTAGAAAAACTCAAGCAAAAATCTATTGCTCCAAAACAGGTAAAATTTGCAAATGTAGCTTTCAATTTGAACTTAATTTAACTAACTTACTAATCTTTGTAAAAGAAAACAACTTTTAAATGATTTTATACTTAGGTTTGTTGTAGTGAAAATTTGTAGTATATTTTATTTAAGCTTGTTTCCCAATTTTTGCATTTATGCAAGTTTTTAAATTATTTTGGATTCTTTAAACTATTTATGTCCTAAAAGCTTAATTGTTAATGATGTTCCCTCTGTTTCATGATGTTTTTTAGAACGTAAAACATAGCAATATGCATTCGGGCAATTCCACAGTGAAGTCTTACATATGGTGCACATATATCATATATTTTAGTAAAAAAAATGTGTTAAATTGTAACTGTGCCTGAAATATCATGTTATCAAATATTAATGTATGAAAACAGCTTTGTTCATATTTTTAAGAGGTTTAGGGCTGTAAACATATTGATTATAACTCTCATGAAATTTCCTATAAAAACAGATTTTTTAATGGCATGGGAAACACCCATGCCATTAAATTCGAGTTTTATAGATGTAAATTATTCCTTTTACTTAAGAATAGTAAAACTTCTGTAATCAAACTTTGATCAACAAGAATCGTAAAACAAAATTAAAAGACTTTAAAAGATTTAGTAAAAATTATTAAAAAGTGTACAAAGTACTAATTTGAAACATTAAGCTGCATTTACAAGAAATCCTGAAAGTCAAATCTAAGTTAAGAAGTGATTTCATAATTGAAAAGCTCTTACGTCAACTTCTGGAGTAAACTCCAGAAGTTGACGTCTTTTGGATTCAGATAAGGGAAATACCCATGCTTTTTTAATTCAAGACTAAAATGATTCCTTGTGCATCACTGAAAAAGTCCAACACGAGGCTTACAGACGTAAGTATGGTAGCAAACAATGTAAGATATTTAAACAGAAATACATACTAAAAGGGCGTGTAAAATTTAATACCCATGCTTAAGACTCTTGTTTGTTAGCATAGCAAGGTAAAACAGGATGTTACTTCTTATTGATTCATGTGTTTAAGAGTGTTGTGAGTTTGTTTAAGCTGTATAGAGGTTGTTTGCATTTTATTTCTGCTTAATTTAAAATAGAAATTCCATATCCAATTTTAAAAATGCTTTTCAAATTATTAAGTTTTTAAATCCCTTCTTCTAAAAGAATTCATTTAAATTAAATCAAGTGATTAAAATTTGCTTCATAATAATAAAAATTCTAATAAAAAAATTTTTTGCTCATAAATGTTACCTAAAATTATATTTTGTTCATTATAGTATAAAAAAGGGTCTTAGACTTGGCCTATAGAGAAAAATAGATTTTGTTTAGTTTAAATGATGTTAATAATTTCATGTTAATAATTTTTGTTCAAACTATCATTAAAATAGTAGTACATCTTATTTTCCCCTTTAAATTCTTTTCAGTTAATTTAACATCTTTTAATGCAACAAACTTGTGTCTGTCATGTTTATTCCATACAATAAATTTTTTAATAAAATATTTACAAATTTATTTATTTTCAGCTAAGTGATGTAAATTGGGAGTTGAGATTACAAATGGCAAACTCTTCTATGAGTAAATTAAAAGTTCCAATAGGTTTAATGGAACTAACACTAGCTTCAAATGAGGGATCAGAAAAACTGCAAATGGAATTTTCACATGATGAATTATATTCTTTCTATAATCAGGTAAAAAATTAAAACTTCTTGAAATTTTGTCATCTTTCTTTTAATTGCTTGTGAATTTTAATTTAATTGCATATCATTACTTTTAAAACTTGAATTACCTTAGTGTTAATAATATAGTAAAATTTATTCTAAAAATCATTTAAATCAGATCAGTAAATGGTTGTTCAAAGATGAAAAATAAAATGACAAATGTAACTACGTTTAGAAACTTGTATCTTAATTGATTATCATAATACGTTTTAATAAAACTACTATTTAGGACTCACTTTTAAAATGAGAATTCTGAGCTTTTTTTTTAGAAAAAAGTCGACCGAATTTAATTGATCTTTTTGATTACACTATACCAATTTCGTTGTAATGATTAAAAGTTTTATTGAAGGAGTTATTCCAACTGACACTAGAGGTTTTGAAATAGGCTTATGAAATATGACTGAAGAGGGTCAAAAAATTTTAATTACTTATTAAAGTTATGTATAATATTTTACATAACTTAAACTAATAAAAAAAAACATTCTAGAAAATATCAAATTACAATGCACACAGTATTAGAAATCCTAATAATGTGAAGGAAAAAAAACAGGTTTCTGAAAGTATGTGGGGGGGGGGATTTTTTTGTTTGCTCCTATAATTTTGTGTTTTCTTTGAATATGTTAAACTTAAGTTTATTTTGACTGCATCTTTTCACTATTTTATAGTATATATTTTATTTATTAAATATTTTAAATGGTTAGTCGAATCCTTAAATTCAATTTCTCTAATTTTCTAATATAAAATTGTAATAACATAAAATTTCATATTTTAGAGCATATTATTTCAAATAACTAGCAGTACAAATTATTCAGTTGATAACTCATACTCCCCCTTCCGAAAACTAAACAAAATGTTTCAATAATCATTCAATCTGAACTAAAACATTTTTACATATCTTACATCACACTGTAAAACTTGCTCTTTCTTTTAGCTTGAGGTTATTCAAACTCAATTAGATGCCCTTAGATGAAGATGTATTTTCTGCATTTTGTAAAATACTGTATTACTATTTTATATATTATGTACTATCTTAAATTATAATTCTATTGTATTTTATATTGTAAACTTTTTCATAAAGAGATGTTAATGTACATTATTGGTGGTTGATTAAAAATTTGTAATTATATTTTACCAATTGTAGATATCATTTAATATAAAATTAATGCTAAAACTTACATTAGAGTTTTGTTAAATTATTATAATTTTTTTTTACCCTTTTTGTTGAAATAAAATAGTTTTTTTTCTCATTTGTGCAATAGTCTTCTTCATGAAGTAATCTTTGATTTAAGTGATGTACAGAGAACATCACTTAATTAATAAATATCCAACCTTAATTAATAAATATTATTTTCTTAAACATCTTAAATTTATCATTTTTGAAAATAAAAAAATATATTTTTCGAAAATAGAAATTAATGCCAGGAAACATGCTCAGAGACAACGCAGCATCAAAAAATTATTTTGGAAGAAAAAAAACTGGAAATAGCAGATTATATTCAAAAATAAAAATATTCAATGCCACATTATTGGCTTAACTTTTTAGAATACACCTACTACAAGTATTTAAAGATATTTTAAATTCAATGTAATATTATAAATGTGCACCTAAAAATTTCAATTTGATACTATTCGTAAAAATTTGTTAAGTTGCAATTAGATGCAAATAAATTTCTTAATGCACACTAGGATGAAAATTTTAGCCATAGAGAAATTTCACAAATTAGCCAGATATGAGATAGAGTTAATTGAATTCATTTTGTATAAACAGTGTTAATAATGCCTTTTACATCAAATAAGTGGAAGATAATGCAAACCTGAATAGATTTTTAAAATGACTAATTTATAAAATATCGACCCTTTTAATACATTACAACTTCGAGTGATTATTTTATGCTGAAATAATGCTAAATTAAAAATGATTTACACATTGAAAAAAAACTTTATTTGAATTGTTTAAACAGATGACGAAACAACTCATTTATACGCAACATGGTGAAAGTTAAATCATGCGTAACTGAAAATCCTCTCGTTGCTTATAATGTGGAGGTTTAGAGAGAAAAGGGTACCAGCTCAACCGCTATCCACGTCATGTGAGAAAGGTCAAAATTATGCAATTTTACTACCATGGCTGTTAGAAGTTAGTACCCTAAAAATTTGGCTAGGTGCTTGGCCATGGTTGGATGATGTGGAGACTTGTTTAAACACACGCACTTGTTAAGTATTAAATTGGGATTCTAAAAATAAATACATAATTATTTAGAACTGAATACTATTTCTTTTATGCTGCCAAGACTGACATAAAGACTAGTTGCAATTTTGGGTCAAATTAAACTTGCTAACAAGCTGTGCTTTATAATTTTTCTATAAGATTTTATTGTGGTCTGTAAATAAGCAATTGTTGGGCTTGAAAATAGCACTTATCATAAATTGAAGCTATTTTATCATGAACTCAATAACATTTAAACATGAGAATGATGGCAGGCAATGATTTCAGGGAAAATCTTGATAAGAATCCAGACTTTTTACTTCCAACTAATTTAAAATGTTTGCATAATGTAATCCAACAGAAATGTCATTTTAACGTTCTTTATACTGATCGTGCATTAATTTGATGTTGGTGGCTGACTTAACGGCAGGCATGTATGTTAAATCCGACATAGCTGAAGTGTCTTATAAGCATGGAGAGAGAGGACCAGTTCGAGCATTGTCCATGTTATCTGACCTTTGTAAAAATTTACTGTAACTTTTACAGTGGTCATTAGAAGATAGTCTCAAAAAACCAGGCTTGTACATTGGATCATGGGTACTGTCAAGGCACATTAAAAAACTCAATGCATCGAACTTGCTGCAGTATAACTTACTGAGTGAATTGAGGGGGGGGGAGTATAGAGATGGAAAAAAAATACTTTGCCAACCAAATTGCAACAATCCTCTAATAAAGTAAAATCAGTGAAAATGGTATCTGCTCTGAAATTGAATCATATAACAGCTTATGCAGCAATGCTAAATTTTACATAATCTTTAAAATGAAAGACATTGTTAAAAACAAATTTTAAATGATAGTTAATGAAAAAGAGTGCGAGGTATGAAAAAAAAACTCACAGCAAAGCTATGAAGACAGAAGACGATGTGTGATTCTGTCCCGATGTGTGAGCAACATTTAATCTCTAAAGATTTTACTAAAAACATTTTCTTCCTGAAGCTCCAACTCAAATTAAATAGGGGTTGAGATTGAAATCCCTTAAAAAATAATTTTGAAATAATTGTTTCCGGCTATGAATGTTCCGTGAAATAAAAGGACACAACTTTAACATTAATATTTTTATTTTTAAAATTCATTACTATATACATATAAAGAACAGATGTATGTTTTTCTCTTCACAAATAATTTTATAAGATAACAGAATTATATAAATTTTATGGAATTTACAAGACTGTCTACTTGCATTGTTTGAGCAACTAAAGCAAATACATAATATTCCATTACAATTGTTGAGCTATTCGGTGTATAGACGATATCACAAGAATAATTAGTTGGACTAGGGATAGTGTATATCACAATAGACACAAACTTTAGATATTGGGCTTATTTAACTTTTTTAATGTAAAGAATTCAGACATTGAGAGTTTGAACTAATGAAACCCATACCAAAGGAGCATCTGGGGTAGATAAACTTTATCTCAATAAAGAAATCTTGATTAAAGAAAGAAATAAAAGTAAAACTTGGGAACAATGAAAAAACTTACTTAAACAATGTTTTATCATTTAAATATAGTTGGCATCCTATATAAGTTAATATATATAAGCTCATTTAGTTAAGTTTGAGTGATGCGATGAATTAAAATTTAAACAAATATGCCTTTAAGAAATGAAACTTGAAAACATTCAGACATTAAGAAATTCTATCATTTAATTTGTATGTATTAATATAAAGTAAAAATAAAATTAAAAAATACTTTGAATACAAACTGAATTAGCATGTTTCAAATACAATTATCAAAACAAATAATGCAATATGGAATAAAATATGCAATTAAAAATCTTAGCAAAAGTAGTCAAACTATTAAAATAAAAATTCTATGAAGTTTTGTGGGATTGTATAGAGCGAAAAAAGATAATGAGGACATTGGCACATTAGTGTGAAAAATATTATAAATGGAAGCTGAAACTGATATACTCATTGCTAACAGTTTAATTTGACAATGTGAAACCATTTGAAAATGATAAAAACATCATCAACCAACATGTAATACTGATTATCATGCTATTGTAACATACAAATTATTTGTTACAATTGAGAAATATTAAAAGGTAAGAGGACCTATCCATCTTTAGCAAATTTCAACTTTTTATGTTTGATATAATAAATTTTAAAATGTTGGAATTTTTTTAATATAAAATATTTTTTGCAAATGAATACTGCCATGCATGCACTTAAGAAATTTTCTTTTTTAAAAAATAATAAGGAAATACAACGTGGTGAATCTTGGACCATTGAATTTCACTTCGATAAAAACTTGTTTCGAAATATATTTTGTTTTCTAGACTTGTTAGTTGTTGAAAGTTGAATATTGATCCAATTAAAACTTATTTTTAGTGACCTTTTCAAGTAGCCTGCATTAGCCAAAATAAAAATTAAATGAAGTATAGTAGTAACATCGAAAAATGCTTGTTTAGAATAAGTGACAAAGTCTATGTGTAGATATGGATGTCCAAAAAGTGACTGATGGATTTAGAAAAGTCAATTATAAAAGAATGGATTGCTATAAAAATGGACGGTTTGCAGCATTAATAAATTATGCTTGGGTAACTAGAAAATTTTATTCCACCAGTCACACATATAGTTAAACTTTCTACCAATAGGTGGAGCTGTAGACATAAAAACCGAACAGAGATTGAATCCATGTCATCTCCTGTCAGTTTTACAATCAGTTAGTACAGCGGATATTCATAATTTTGGATAAATCGTATGGAACACAGCTGTGTACAGACAATATGCATTATATTATTTCCTGCAGCCCCTCCTATTGATATGAAGTTTAACTGAATGTGTAATCTGGTGGGTTGAAATGTCTTAGTTTCCCAAGCATAATAATAATAATGCAAACCCCACATTTCTACTGCGTTCTGTTTTTTTTCGTCGATTTTCAAAATCCATCAATTATTTTTGGGACACCTGGTACATTTATACTAATTGAGGTTTGGTAGCACTTTTTGCACAAAGATCAAGCAATTTATATAAATATCACTTTTCAAAATATCAGAACCATCATTTTATTTTGGCAAACACTTGTTCCAGTAAACCAGGTTTATCAAAATTAATTTCAAACCCTCCACTATTTATATTTATACTTCTGAAACACAAAGCCTTTTCACTAGTAATTCAAACAAAATTAAGTCTCATTTTATCATCTTCTGTGGCTTCTTTCTATCATTGTGTTTAGAAGTTTCTTCAATATCTTTTCTGGTATAAGTGTTAGTATCCTGGTTCTTCCTTTTTGTCTACCTCCACCTCTTTGGTCTTTCCTCATAAAAGCTCTTAAGTAGAGTCAAAATAATTCAGGAGACTTCTGCTGCCCGTGATTGTTCATTGCTTAAAACTTGTACATGCTTTTAGGCCCTTTACTGCTGTTAATGATTAAATCAGTGAAACTGTTATCTATATCATTTAGATTTTGGCTATTATTGGATGATTCATATGGTTGATAAATACTAAAAAATAATAAGAATTCATTTCCCCCTATGTATCTACATTGTATAAGATAGAAACCATCCAGAAGTTAAATATCAACATCATTAGAATTGAAGTTACTAAATAACGACTGCTAACTAATTAACATCAGAAATTTTCTCCCAATGTGCTTGCCAAGAAAAAAGTAGTTAGATGGAGAAAAATTAGCCTTTTTATTACAAAATAACTATTTTATCGCTGGAATTTTATTTTAATGTTAATAAAGAAAAAGGTCCTCTCTACTATGAGCAAGAATATACTTGAGCAGTAAATCTCACTGTCTTTTTCCACACTATACAACAAGATGTACAATAAGAAAAAAACTGCTATTTATCCCACACATTATTTGAACACAAATAACACATCAACAGCCAAAATATTATAATGTGTTACATTAACAACCAGTGATAATACATATAACATCAAAATTGTTAACACATAAGGTTCTATAATAAATTAAATAAAAATATTAAATATTTGAACACTTGGATAGAAAAATACTAAAATACCCCATCTACTTAAATATCAAAAGACAATAAAAATACTAATGATAAATGATACATACTTTTAAAATACAATATAGTACATAAACAATTTTAATTTTTGAGAAGAATAAATATTGTAGATGAAAAATTTGTGCTATATTGTAAGAGTTAACTAGAAACATTTATGATTGTGACATCAAACTTTATCCAGACACAAAACTATTTGACGGGAAATTTTCGATTTCCATAAGAAATAAACTTTTTTCTGTTTCTTTAAAAAAAAATAGCGGAAATTCATGAAACTTACAATTTGTCAATCAAGACGATCTCAAATTAATAAAAACTAAACAAATATTACAACTGCAGTGGAATTCCTGTTTTACGATTTCCGTTGGACAAGATGCTTATGCATGGATAACATAAAATCAGGGTTAAAAAAATATAAAGTATATTTCAAAAATTTACAGCTGAACTACTAGAAAAAAATTTGTAATCTCTACATGTTTTTTGTTTACAGATACAATTATAACAATATCCCTCTCAGCTCTTAATATTGTTTGCAAATTTGCTTCATGGTTTGCATTTGTAAATGTTTCAGATTTTTTAGGCTTTTAAACTCTTGATCAGTTGTAGGTGTATCCTCTGATATTTTTGTTCATTTTCATCACTTTTATCACTATCATGGGGAACAGGCATTAAATTAGATGTTGAAGAAATTGAAAAGTAATGGGATAAGTGCAATTTTATTCCAAAGGGCCATTGATCCTGTCAGATACCGAGAGCAATTAACCCCGAGAAGCTTTACTAAACCTATTTGTAATTTATTTTAGTTGGAGTTGTCAAACTATATAGAAATCAAATTCAGAACTTCCAGAACATTTATTTTTGCTTTTGAAGCATTTTGCAAATCGGTCAAGAGAATCGTAAAAATCAAATGATTGCCTAACCAGCCGTTTAGTGTAACAATCTTTAAATGATTGAATAATCCAAAGATTCAGAGATTTAATTTTTTTGGAGAAAATTCTGACTGCATATTTTACAATTTAAGCTCCTGTACTTCCTTTAATTTCCTTCCTGTGCTTTGCTCATCCAACCCCCCTCTGATTTTGTCTCAAAGGGGAAATCCACAGAGAAAAAGTCAATAGGATAAAATAAAAGGAATGTCAGAAAACTACAAACAGCTAATAAACAAGTCTCTTTAAAAGAAAAAGAAAATTCAGAAAAAGTTTGTGTGAGCTTTGTAGATAAAAAAAAATTATTTTTATCTGTTAGAAAAAACATATAAAGCAGGATTTTCTTAAAAAGGGTAACATAAAATTCAGGATAATTTAACATTATTGGTATAGACAATAATTCTTGGACCAGCAGAAAATGATGTAATAAGCGGTATAATGTATGCAACGGACAAAGTAAAACTGGAGTTCCACTGTATAATTCGATAGTGTTTTTTATTCGGCCTTTAAAATTTGTACTCATTTATAAATTATCCTTAAAGACTGAGTAAAATAAAAATATTTCTTGGCCTGAATAAAATGTTATAAGGCATATTTAACAATTTCAAGATATATGACCAAGCAATTATATAAACTTCTGAGAAAATATTAAACATAGCAAAATCAAATTTAGTTCATTAGGGATAATGAATTTAATTTCAATATCTTCAATAAAATTGATAATTTTTAATAAAATGCATACTGAGTTGTTAGAAATATATTAGAAAGTATTAAAATTTGATTTGCGTTTTTTTTTCTGCCTTTATAACTTATTTATAAATCATTCTTAAAAATAAGTTATGCAAATAAAAATAAGTAGTTTGATCTGGATAATTTGCTAGACAGCAAATTCATTGTGTTTTTCTTTTCAACCTTCATAAGTTACACTCATGTAATAAATATCTCTTAAAAATAAGTGACACAAATAAAAATTATTATTTCTGATCTGCATAATTTGCTAGACGGCATACATAATAATTTCAAGATAAATGACCAAGCATTTATATAAACTTTGCTTTTAAAATGAAGTATGTAATTAAATATTTTTAAACATACTTTTTACAATAATAATTTTTTTGTATTTTACTGTCTTAAAATAAATTATTTTGTAAGCTCTTGAAAACATGATTTATAGTTTAGAATAGGAGAAATTTACTTTGATTATCAAGCAAGTTATAAGTATCAGAATTAGCCTTTATTTTTAAAAATCTCAAATAATTTATTTAAACGTAGTTAATACACTTAATGAATTTTTTGTAAGAACTAGCAACTTCCACAAATCGGTATTAATTCTACAATGTGCAGTGACGGATATTATATACACCAGTAACGATTTCCTCACCATTTTTCTTAAGAAAAAAGCTTATTGTTATGTTGTATCAATTTTGATTGATTTCATTAATATAGAAAATGACTTATTTTTGAAATGCAATTTCTTTGCTAAAAAACTATCAATTTCATAACCTTCCTAAAATATTCATAAAAAATAGCATTTAGGAAGAAAAAAAATTATAGGTTTGTCATCTAATATAAAACATATTAAAACATTTAACATCAAACATTTAAACATATTAAAACATGAGAGAATTTTCATCAGCTATTAAATTGAATGTTAACTTTTAAAGAAATTGTTAGTACTAAGTATTAAAAACCTTTTACTTTTAGCTACAGCTTACATAACATTTGCATCAGTATAAAATACAAGCCAATTCCTAAAGATTAGTTAATTAATTTATTATAATAGTTTTGATGTTCATACCCTACTGTTCAATAGAATTTGTACTTTTGAACAAACATCTTAGTATATATAAATCCTAAACTGTTTTCAATAATATTTTTTTACAAGTCATTGGAATTTAATCTTGTCAATGTGGCTAATACAGTCGGATAAATAGTAAAATGTGAACACAAATATGTTAATAAAAAAACAAATGATATATTTGTAAAAATAAAATTAATACTGATTAACATGCATTATTTCTCTCAGATTATTTATATTCTTATACAATTGCCTAAAATTATAAATTTGTTTGTCATAAGTTTTAAATACATTTTTTTTTTAAATATTGATCTAAAAGTATAATTTAGTTTTGTGTTTAACAGATATATTCTAATAGAAATAATTTATAAAATATTGTTTATTAATAACTTATGTTTAAATAATTAAGTATATTCATTATTCAAGTATTTTTTATATTTAAAATATTTCCTTAGGTTAGCAATTTAAAATTTATTTATGATAAAAAATATGTTTATTTGAAACTAAATCAAAAATGTGTACCTTTTAGATTTTAAAAATTTTATTATGATTTTTCTGAAGTAAAAACCTTTAGATAAATGGAAAATGTTAGTTCTAAATATCTAGAATAATTCTTTATAATTCTAAACTTTTCTACTGAAGCAAAATTAAAAATGACTATTTGAAAGCAGTTTCAGTAATGTCTTATTAAAAGCTTGCTTAATTTTTGAGTCTTTCCAATTTTTTATTATAAGCTATTCTGATAATTAAAATATAACTTTCCATAACTATATTATTTTAAAATATTTAACTTTTTAAAAAATTAAAATAATCAATTCATTCATAAACATAAAAAAGTATAAATTTTTCAAAAAAGTAGCCTTGAATTTAAAAATGTCAACACATTTTATAATTTGTTTATTTAATATTTACTTTGTTTATTTAATATTTTCCTTATTTTTATGATATTTACTTTATTTGTATAATATATTTGATTGAATTAAATAGAACATTACTTTACTTTTTAATACTTTTAAACAATTTATTTTTATTCTTAATTTTTTTTTTTCTTTATATCTTACCTGTGCAAAGACTTAAAGTTCATACTGCAGTACTATAAACAGGGTTGGTTAGTTTTAACCCATACGGTTTAAACCAAATTATCTTTGAAAAAAAAATGCCTGTTTATTTTTTTAATTATTTTAATTTTTCTCATTGAACCAATCATTTTTTTATTATTATAATTATATATTTTTATATCTTTATTTAAGTAAATTTTTAATTTTGAAATTAATTGATGATTATTTTAGCAATGAATCTTTTTGAAATATTTATTTATACTGTTAAAAATAATTAGGTTTTGAAAAGAATTTCCATGAAATAAATTTAAATTATATAATTACTACTGAATTAGCACATGGATTATCATTTATATCAACTTTTAAAAACAAAAATAACTACCAGTTTAAATTTAAAACAAAGCACAGGTTTAAACAAACAAAAAAACTATTTTAAGGAAATTAAATAAAAACTATTTATTTCCGTCCAGCAATTCCACAAGAATTTCGAAAGTATGCTTTATACAAGATATACAAATTTTCAGGTTCTTTTTTACTAACAATGAGTCCCTATCCAATATAATTTAAATGTCCTATTTATATTCTTCAGTAACAGCAGACTATGCTGAAATCACCATGATTGTTTTAAATTTGTCTTTTGTTATTCTGTTGCTTGCATTTCATTTAGATTTTTTTCCACTGGCAAAAAAAAAAAATTTGTAATTTTATTTATACACACTATATCACATAAACAGAATTATTGCTGACCCTAATTGTAATTAATAAAATGAATTTGAAGTTGGCTTTTATAAATAAATGAAAGGTAGAAATTGACATCCTAAACCCAAAGGCTACAAAAATTGAGATGATAGAGACTTTAGCCCAAAAAGGCTTTATCTTTTAATTATGAATGAGAAATAATGCCTTAAATATTGTACTCTAAGTAAATTAAAATTCTAAATAAGTTATCATTATAGCAGCAGTAACTTTAATTTCTAAAAAATTTATAAAATTTTCTTAAAATAAGTTTATTATTATGCTAAATAATTTTGAATTATCATTTTTAAAATATGCATCTTCATCCCTAAAATAAATATAAAAAAATTTTGGATATAATAGCAATGTATGCAAAGAAAAAATTAAGTAGAAAGCTAAATGGTAACATAAATTTGAGAAAATAAATAAAGAGGTGTGTATTGTCACATTATTATGGTCATGATATTCCAGTCATTAAGTCAACAAGGTTTTCTAAGCTTGATTGCACTCCATCCCGATCCTGAAAACCACACATGTGCACTTGCCATTTTCTTCCATGTAAAACTCCTTGGAAAAGATGCAATATCTGAAAGAAAAAAATCCTTTTATTATAAAATATACTAAATAAATATCAGCTTTCCTGGCAAAAATTCATGATGAAATAATAAAACAAATAGTTTCAAATATTATAACTGACAAAATAATGTCACAATATTTTATGTTACCAGACATATAAAAAAAAGATCTTTAAATATTATATGGAGCTTTAATTCTTGAAAAGTGACAGCTTTCCAAAATATTTCAAATTAATTTTATAATCAAGTTCATCTTCAGAGAGTATATAAACTTGTTATATATACTTGTTGTGTTGCATTATATTATTATTATAGTAGATCCATGCATGGCAATACTTTTACTTTTGTTACTTGCAACAAAAGTAAAAGTAAAAAGAATGTGCTTTTACTTGTACTTTGTTACTGATTTAGTACTTTTAATTGCTTTTTCGCTACTTTTTTTTTGGGGGGGGGAAGTACAAGTATTTGTAACGAAAATCTTGAAAGAAATCGTTCTTTTTTTCAGAATTTTTTTTAAAAAAATTTTCTCAAAAAAGAACAAGTTTGTTTGAAATTGTGGAATTTTTTTAAAATTTATTAATGTGATGCATTATATGTTCTTTAACAGCTGACTTCTTTTCCCAAACACCTTTAAGGAGTGTAATTTCCTGAAAGGGAGAGAGTGGCTCTCTACGACTTTTCTGCACAAATCACATCATTTACTCTTCTTTTTCATCTTTCCTTATATCTGATCACACACATGTCACAGCATAACAACCTGCAAGTGCCTAGAAACTAACAATCATCCCACCAGCTTGATCAATTTTGTTTTTATCGCAGTGTTTTCACTACAGCGTGAGAATCTCGCATATTTTTTCTTTTCTCGCTTTAAAAAATATTACCGCGAGAAATTCGCGCATTCTATAAATCAATTTCAAAATTCGCGAATTTCTCGCATTTTGGAAAATGCTTCGAATTACGCCATTTAGAATAAAATCCACTTCACCTTTCTTCCTGGATCTTTCACTATTTTCAACATCTACCCCGTTATCTAGCTTCCCTATTTATCAGTATTGTTCAGAACGTTTTAGAACAACAGAACACAACCTCGGAACCTCTTTCAGTACACATTTCTCAGCAACCACGTGTTTACCGTAGGTAAGATTTTTTCATGTAAGACGTTCAAATTTTTTATGTGCTAATGTAAGATGGACAAATACCTTGTAAAGGCAAAATCTTCTATGATGATGCACCAAAAATATTCAATGCTTTAAAAAATAGAAGACGTTATAAATGTATTATAATTAAAGAAATGAAATGAAGAAAAAAAATTTTCAAGAGTTTCTGTGTTTTTTTAGTTTTTAGAAATCTCACCCTGTTTTTGAGAAAGGGTGAGAAATCCTCACCCATTTTTTTTCAATGATGAAAACACTGTTATCGGGAACTAAATGTTCTGATAGAACCTCCTGTTCTTAGCTAAATAAAAAAAATAATAAAATCTCTATTTCAAGAGAGCATCAGTGGAAACTACTACCAAATCAACCCTTACTCATGCCCCTCCAAGGTGATATATGCGCTTTGGCCGACAGCTGGGAAAATACTTTTATTTCAAATGTTACTCAATCTTATCTTTATTGCTTCAGAAGAAGTATTGTTGGACTCCTTTATGAGCATCTAATTTTTTCTTCCATGGGCTTGGGGGTTGGAAACTTTCTTCCTGTGGGAACTTTCTGGGGTTCCTTTTCTTAAAAATTGTTCATGAGAAAACATGTTATGAATACTTATGTTTTCAATTTCATTCAAAATTTTTGGAGCTCTTTTTCAAACTAAGGTGAGAGTCTTATCTTTCATACAGAACAGCCTTCTTAAAGAAAAGTACCAAAAATTATAATAAAATAATCATAAAATACTTTAAATAAATACTTCAATAGCTTGTTTAAGCAAACATTGAACATGATTTGAGCTCAGATGACAGTCTTCCCATTGTTATATACCCCCCCTCCATTTTGTTGTACTAATTTTGCACTAAAACAGTAGATGAGCTTTAAATAAATCCTATATCAGCATAGATTTTCTGTCAATTAAATACATTTTTTACTAAACAAATTTTGAAATTAGGGAAAATTTATAAAGGGAAAAAAACATCCTCATCCTTCCTTAATGAAAAAAAACATTAGAAAATATGCAATAACTTCTTTTTTTTTTTTTTTTTTTTAATTTAGTAATTAAAGATGCTCTACTTCTTGGTGAGATTTTGAGCCTTCAACATCTTGATGAGTTGCAAGAATAACACAGGGAAGACCTTTTAAAGAGCTGTTTTGAAGAGTTTCCTGTAAAATTTTTGATGACTGTTTTAACATTTCCTCACTAGCAGCTGCATTGATAACATACAGAATACCATGCTGCCCTTCAAAATATTTACTCCAAAAAGGCCGAATCACTTCTGAGCCTACAAATTGAGAAGAACATATTATATTTATATGAGCAATACAAGCATGTTAATGAAAACATACAAGATCGAAATAAAATTTTGAAAGAAGGAAATGGGGAAAAAATGATTTCTAAAACATGGAAAAAAATTTTACCTCCTAATTCTTTTATATCCACAACTGTATCTTTTAAAGGTAAGGTTTTAATGTTGAAACCTGTTAAATAATTAAAAAGACAAGAATTACTTGAAATAAAGAATGATACATTAACATACTACAATTCATGAGATAACATTACAATGTCTACAATAAAGGTGCACAACCTGCAGTCAGCTGTTGATGTATGGCCATATCTACATCTGAGCATCATGAAAATAAGACACTTTGTGGATCACCAAAATAAATACATATTTAAATTTACAAACAGACATTTAATGAACAATTTGTTTTATAACAAAAGTGAATGATTGTTATAAGAAATTAAACAAAATCAAAACTAAAGCAAGTAACTTTATCTTTTTTCATATCTTAGCTATAAGCTTTCAAAACTAAAGAAAAAATTTTAATAAAATAATTTTCATTACATTGTAAAGATTTTTGTTAATTGCTATAAGACAGACAAACACATTTTTTTAGTGTGTGTCTAAGGCCCCAAAAACCTATTTTTTAATTTATTACATTTTCAAAAGTCAGGCAGTGACGCTTGATGCAAACTGGTACCATTATGGAAGTAACATATTCCAGATGTTTCCATATTGTACAACTAAAATAACCAAAGTGTCTTTGGCATGTATATTGGTGCCCATTCACACCAACTAGGGGGAGATTTCCGTATCCTGATCTGTGGCAGAATAATCGCCAATTCTTGGAAACTTCCAGGCAGCAGCCAGTGAGAAACTAAAAAAAAACATCACAGAAAGGGACCAACTCGAAAGGTATAACTCTTATCCACCCCTGCGCAAACATCTATATGTTGTTTTTTTTACAATTGCAAGTTTAAAATCTATTAGTAACTAAGCGATTGTAATTGGCACAACAGATCACGATACGAAAATATCCCCCCAACTACAATCACCAAGGTGACAAGAAGAAATTAAGCTTGCAATTTTTTTTAATACAATATGCTGAGATTCACTTTTGAGTTATGCCTTTCAGGTTGGCGACCTTCGATGATTTTTTTCCACAGCAAGGAAGTTACTAAAACTTAGCTGTTATTTTCAAGCAGGTTCTGATACCGAAATCGTCCCCCTTCTTCACTTGAATCACTAATTTGCAGACACATTTGGCATGGGTACCAATACTGAAAAATCTTCCTACAAGTTACATTCTCAAAAGTGATTATTTTATAATATCACAGAAACTAGCATCAATCACTAGAGCATTATCACCTTTACAACAGTTATTGCAACATATTTTCCCATACATTAAAAAAAAAATTATGAGACGAAATTGTAACAGATGTTACTTATTATTGATTAAGCATCACGTCAAAAAGCTGCAGTAATTCTTATTGCACATTATTACGAACCTCTAAGCTCATAACTATTTACAACTGTTTATCCTTTTCAGATACTAAAAATAACTGTCAAGCATCATACCTGTAGTAGGCTCTATATCATTTACTGATTCTCCAACTAAGGTTGCTAATGCAGTAGTTTTCCCGGAACCTTCCAAACCGATGCATAAAATTTGATATTGATCTCTAATGATAATAACCGGCCGATAGCAGCTGAGCCACTGCCAGCACTAAAAGAAAATGACAAATTTTATTATAGATATCCAGTAAAATGAAAGAGTAATGTAAGCTTAATGAAATAAATTTATCTACCTTCCTCATTCCGATTCTACAAGCAGCAAAACCAAATTGTACGTTATCAAATACTTTGGGCATAATAGTGCAACCTGTAGCAATAAATTAAAGATAGTAAAAATAATATAAACTAAGTTAAATCCATACTTATTAATTTGCCCTTTCGGCAAAAAGGAAATTTGTTTATTTTTATCTTTATTTACATACATTATGGTGACGGTCAAAGTTAATAAACGAAAATGAAATATTTTTTCCTATAACTGGTTTTATGACAAATGTAATGTTCAATATTTCTATTTTAATAATTTGTGTAATTTTAGAAGTGTATTTTTAATTTATTGATTTCATTAGAACAAATGAATTTAAATATACATTTGTAGCAAGAAGGACATAAGTAAAGTGAAGAGATGACTTGAAACTGTTGCCTAGCAACAGAATCTAAAAGTAAACAATATCGAAAGTGTAAATTCATCACATGTATGTAAATGCATCAAATGAACTTTCTTTCTCAGGTATTCATTCCAATAGAAGATGAAAAGTTTCATCCAAATATTTTTTTTGTTTGGAATGTAAAATTGAATTAATTATTGATATGACAAAAAATACTTCGTGGTCAAAAAACATTGAAACTGTTGACACCAGGTAGGATTCAGTTGTATCATTATATTTATTAAGTTAAGCTGTTGCACTTAATAAGTCTATTACTTACATTTGCTTCATTTATATCACCATTATCTGAGTAATAAATTTAAACTATCATGTAAATTGGGTAATTCTAGTCTAGATAAGATTTTGATCCTTAATGACCGAAATTTATAATTTTGTTTCCCTACAATGGACTTAGTTATATTGCTTCTAGGAGCATAGCAGTTATACATTGTTTTAAACTATTTTTTCAACTATAGTGTATATTGAGACTATATTAGACTTTATTTAGATAATATATCAGTTAAACCTTTATATTTAATTAGATAAAAGCTGAATAGATGAACCACCATTTAAAGTTCTTTCAATATTTGCAAATGATTGAGCTAGTTTATTGTTATGTAAAATTTATTCAAATATAACATAGGAGTCCAATTTTTGTGTGGAACAAAATTCTAACGCACAGTCGTACTAGTTCTCTAAATTTCACTCATAACAACAAAAAAATTAAATCTGTAAAAAAGTTTATATCTTTCTTGATTTTACCTTTGATTAATTTAAATTGATGATGATTCATATAGATTTTCTTTATTTGTCTGTGATATTGAGGGGGATTTTAAAAAAATACTTTAAATTAGTTTGGGAGACATATATCGTCTGCCCCTTCCTCTAATGTGGTCCTTGAATATAACCCAAAAAGCAATATGCATATGAATCAAATGGATTTGAGTGCCTGTTTCATATAAAAGGCACATTCAAGTCTGATAACAAAGTGGTATTATTAGCATAGCGAAGAAAACATAAGTGTTTTTGATTGATTTGGAGTTCGTTTTTCTAAATTATTATACTGGCATTTCACATTTTATAACATATCGTTTTCAGAATTAATTTATATTTACTATTTACTTAATAAATATTTTTGGGCATTTTATTGATAGTACAATTTACATATATATTTTGTTTTTAATTTATCTACATAGGATAAAGAACTGTATAGCAGAAATTTCAGCTGTTTTTGATGGTATAGAGAATCTTGAATCAGATTTGAATATATTAAGTCCAAATGAAGAACTTTCTGAAGATTTCTATAAATTCCTTAAAAGACTGGTAAGCATTTAATTGCTGTAATGAGTGTTAACATCTTTGTTTATTAAATTACTGTTGTTGCATTTTATGTTTTAGTTACACCTACAATATTGTTTAATCTTAATTTTCTTTTATGTTTTCTTATTATGGTAATATTTTTAAAATTAATGGTAAATTTATCATTCAAAATATTAATGTTTTGGGCTTGTATTGGTTTATTGTTACCTTTTTGTTTATCAGGTGCAAGTAAAAATCTTTTAAAAGTTCTGTGTGCCTCCATGGTAATTTAAAAGCTCTCTGTTGTTTTTGATTCCCACTAATAATAAGTAGTAAACCTCAAATGCATGTAATTTATATATATTTTATGCATTCCTTATATATATATATATATATATATATNTATATATATATTGTGGTTTGCACTACAACTATGAAACAAGTTTAGAGTTTGCTAAATTGCTAAAGTATGGGAATCATTTTTATGAAATATTGAAGTATAATTTGCAGATACCATAACTTTATTGTAGATAAAATTTGAACTGTATCTGTAACAAAGAAAGTGCAGAGACATAAAAATTGATTTTTGTTTTATTAAATTATAATCAAATTCAAACATATAATATGGCGGAAAAAGAATGATTAATAAATTTTACTTTTAAATAAGGAATAAAGGAATAATTTAATAATAACCATAATGACTTACAGTATTTGATTTTCTGCTAATGATATCTAGATCCAGGGGTCTGTCCAGACCGAATTTACAACTGTTTAGCAGGACCTTCACAAATTCAATTTTAGGAAAAATGGTAGTTTCACAAATTCAACTTTTGGAAAAATGGTTGTTTCAGAAAATACTTTTTCTTAAAATTTTATTTTTGTATCCCTTAAGAAACGATAAATCTATATTTTTACCATGTTTATGTGTTGATTTTTTAATATAATTTTTCATTTTTTACAAATTATGTCTAAATTTTCACAACATAGGTACCACTCAGAAAAACCTAGACAGACCCCTGAGATCCTTTTTGTTTATTAATGATCACACTGTGTGATTTTTTTTTTTTTTTTTTTTNTTTTTTTTTTTTTTTTTTTTTTTTTTTTTTTTTTTTTTTTTTTGTTAATAAGAATCTTTAAAATAATAAATAACAATTACTTTCTATGATTTATGGAATTCATTATATATAATTACTAAAACACTTTGTTGTAATTTTTTGTTACCATTTCATAACCTTCGATAAATAATTATTTATCACTTGTTAAATGTAAAACTTTTTCTACTTTTAAGAAGAACTCTCTGTTCATTACAATTGTTTTAAATATACTGATACCTGTTTTCTTAAATTTAATTAATTTTGCATTAATTTAGAATTTTTTTCTTGTGTAATTGAAAGTAATTTTAAATTGATATATTTAAAATGGGTTTTGCAATTGATGTTTTTTTTTCAACTGTTATTTTATTTTTTAGTGCTTGTCTTTGAAAGAATCACCAGGAATAGCTCAATTCATTTTACCTCATTTGGATGAGCTGCGAAGGCAAAATTTTCTGAGCTTACTACAAGTGTCATTTATACCATCATTAGATTCTACTGCTTCTGAAACTGAAGCTATAAAATGGGAAAACCAGATTAATTTCTTATGGTGCAGCTTGTGCAATCACTTAGATAAACTGTCACTTTCTTTTTTATTCGATAGTTATACAACAAATACCTTGTTAAATAACTATTTAAATATTTCACTTCTGAAAGATTATATTACCACCTTACATAAAATATTTGTTCCTGAGTTGGTGTGGGAAAAATATGTTTCATATCGTAAAAAATTCTTATTAACTTATAACTGCTCTTGCTCCACCAAAAGTGCTTGTTTTAGATGTTTTGTAAAAGTTTGTGGCAACTGTGTTCAAGAAGATGTATTTCTTCTTTATATTGGTTGTTTTCATCCATTAATTATTACAAAATCAAATATACTTGAAACATACATAAATATTATTGATGAAAAATTTCAAGAGCTTATGCAGTTTTTAATTAGGTGTTTAAGTTGCAATGATATTATAGATAAAGAAATTACTTCTTTTATTTTTCCTAGTCTGGCATCTCATGATAAATTTTCTAAGACATGTTTAACTTGCTTTCTGCAAAACATTGTTAGTAATGAGATTGAAGGAAATATATCTGCATTAAATGGAAGTATTAGCAGAACAATTTTTACTCAAGCCATTATTAAAAGTATTGAAATTATATCATGTTTTGAAGATCGACTGAAGAGTATTTTTGGTCGTGAAAAAAATCAACACAAAATATTTCATTATCATTATGAGGAATTTTCTAATTTATACAAAGGCAAGTAAATTTTTATCTGTCTCAAATATGATATTTGTATTTTCATTATTCTCCTCTCCTGCTTTGTTATTTAAGATACTACAGATTTTCACAATTTTAATGATTTCAAGCTTGTTTGAAATGAATAAAATGGTTAATTAATAGGCTAAATAATAAACAGACTAAAAATTTTTTGTTTATTTATGAGTTTGTTTTTTTTATAAATAAATGGCCATTTAACTGAACTTGTAAAAATAATAGCATTTACTCTTGTTTAATTCTTAGTATTATTTTTTGTTTAATTGAAATTATGATTTTTTTTTATTCAATTAACAGAAATAGAAATTTTTATTGTAATATGTTTAATATATAAAAAATGTAGATATTACTAACATAAAAGCTTATAAATTGTGTATTCTTCTCCGATACCAAATTTATTTATTATCAGATTACCGATACCAAATTTATTTATTATCAGATGAGAAATATTAAACTTTGCTTTAAATAATAGATTTAAATCTATGAAGCAACTTTCATATTTTACTGTGAAAATTATTTCAAATTCACTAATTATATTCTATTTTTAGGAAAGTTTTCCCTACCAGATGAAAGTCCTGAACAGTCACCATTTAATAAATCATCAAGCATAAAATCACCCAGAATATTACAAACATCTGACGAAAATAAAATTTCTTTTATATGGAATTGGAGGTAACTGTTCAATTATTATAGATTATAGTTTCAATTATAATATTTGAATTATGATATTTGAATTATGAATGTTGAAGTAAATTAATTGCATTTATAAATTTTGATTTTACTCCGCATAATCAAATATATATGTTTCTAATTTATAAAAGAGCTATTTTTTTGCACTGTTCCTAAATTGTAACTGTAATTGTAACCCTATTGCATATATTGCTTTAAATATAAATATAGTTATAGAATGAAACAAAAAAAATTTTTTGTATGAAATTGAAAAAAAATTTTTTAAATTTACAAGTTAAAAGCTTTGTAGTTATGTTACATACGTTACTTAAAGGAACCAGTCACAAGCTTACAAAGTTGAATATTAACCCTTTTTCGATGGGAAGCGCAAACGCACGCTCATTGCTGAGGGCGGCAGTCTCTCGCGCGAGTGTCTCTCCAGGGCCGGAGGGTTTTTGACTGTTGAGCCTAAATCGATGAAATTACTGAAATATCAACGCATTGTTTAATAATATTCTGCAGAGTATTTAAATGACATATGCTGTATATATATTTCTATAAATACTTTATTGACTTAAATTATTTCTTGTTTAAATATATATTTTACACATTTTATTTTCATTATGTACTTACCATTTCATAACTTTTAACATTATATATCCAGGGATGTGATTCTTCCGCGGATTCGCGGATTTCCGCTTTTTGTCAGATTTTTCCATTTTTCCTGCTAATTTCCGCGGAAATTTTTTTTTTTTGAACAAGTTAAAATATTTTATGAGGAATTTAATTTTCCGCGGAGCGAAAGCATTGAAATCTTCTCATAAAGTATGAA